AGCAGACTGGAGGAGGGCAAACATTGTCCCCATCTTCAAAAACGGGGGGGGAAAGGATCCCAACAATTCTTTGGAGGTCTTTAAACAGAGGCTGGATGGCCATCTGTTGGGGATGCTTTGATTTTGAGTTCCTGCATGGCAGGGGGTTGGATTGGATGACCCTTGTGGTCTCTTCCAACTCTATGATTCTATGATTCTATATGCTTGCCTCGCATCAGCATTACGCTTTATGGGTTACCAAGGTCATATCCTGAACAAGGAATTATGAACCTCTACATCTCTAATTATTAGGCAGGTTTAAATATTCATTTCTATACCAATCAAGTTTTTATTTTTAAACATAAATTTATTAGTGCCCTTTCCCACTCTATGGTCTTAAAATGTTGGTTCAGGAACTAGTTTAATGAAATGTTTAAAAATGTATAATGCAGCCTGCATTCATGGGACTCCCACCCTCTGGCTCAGCTACAGGATTTTAGTTTTGCAATACTAGATATTTATAAACTATTCATACTCACATCCCCTAGCTGCATCTTTTCCCTATCATATTCCATGAATATGCCACTTTGCTCCATGGCTTGTGACTGCCCTCCACCTTCCTTCCTTCCTTTCTTCCTCCCTCCCCTTTATTTTTAATGTTTAAAACTCCCCAAAAGACACTTTGGAATATGTAAGTCTCTGTTCCAGATCATAAAACCAGCACAAATAATTTAGCTCGAACTGGTAAGTCTGTACCTTGCTGTTCACCAAAAGAGCCTGCTAGTGATCCATATTTCATAGAAATGTACATTTTTAATGAAATAAAGAAAAGCATTCCACTCCAGTATGGAATGAAATTAAGATACGATGCAGGGTGTTTTTTTAAAGAGTGAACTCTTGCAGCCTCTAATTCTAGTCTTACAGTTTCTTTTGTAGTTTCTTTTCTTTTTAAAGTTTCAGTGACATTTGGCTTCAGAAGAACCTATACATATATAGCAATCTCTTTTGAGCTATACAATATTCTGAACCTGATCCAGCATCTAATTCACTTATAGAAATCTTTATTGCAAGATGTTGTCTTGGAAACTTTTGATTTGACCTAGGAAAGTAGTGTTGTGTATGAACACTACTTTCCTAGGCTTCTATTGGCTTCAGTGTGTGTGTCCACACTCATCTGTGTGTGCATATGCAATGTATATTTTCAAATTATACAATTGGAGAACCTCTTCTCCATTTGAGAAGCTGTTTCTCTCCAGAGATAGAAAGAGATTGCTATCTCTGCTATAAAATATAAGGATAGAACCCAGATGGGAAGCTGTTGACACCTTTGAACATATCAAAGTAGCAGAACAACTGCTGAAGAGTCAGGACAACTGCGATGCCAGCCCTTTCCACTTCATACTCATGGGAAGACGTATAGGTTCCTCTGTTCTGAAGCCAAAGTCACTCAAACTGTAAAATGAAAAGAAACTGCAAAAGAAACTGTTAAAGGAAGACTAGAATTAGAAACTTTAAATGTTAACTCTTTTTTTTAAAAAAAAAACACTGTTTCTCACCAATTCACTGTGCACCTTGCATGTGTAAGGCCTTTCCCTCTGCATGCAGAAATGCACACAAGAATCCCACTTCTGGCTCACAGCCACTATTGCTTAGTCCCTGCCCAGAACAGACTTTTATTATTCAGAATGAAGGAGACCTCTCTGGAAATATGTGGCTTTTTGTTTACCACTACCTCCTCCCATTTTTCCAATTAATTGAAAGAAAAGGATGTTATAACTACTAGGGTCTGAACAAACAGGGTTTGTGAAGAGAATTACATCTGACACTGGAGAGAGAGAGAGAGATTTACAAAATTAAGGTAGCTGCCTGTCCATTCTTTGGCTGCTTTTTGCATTGGGGAGAAAATGGTGGTAAATCGAAGACACTTGAGAAACTACAGGAGAGGAAATTTGAACTGTGGGTACTGTTGGCAAACATACATACACACACACACAAGGAAAGACATATCTGGGGGTCTTCTTTCATAAGAGTTGCACAAATATGCAGCCAACCATTTCCTAAAAGGAATAAGAGGAAGATTATCCAAGAAACTGAAAGGTTGCCATGTTGCTAGAAGGATTAATATGTGGAGACACTGTAGTCATATTTTGATTATTAGACTGCTGCTGCCGCTGGTGCTGTTTCACTCTTCTTCTTCTTCTTCTTCTCCTCCTCCTCCTCCTCCTCCTCCTGAAAGCTTCCAAAACTGAGCTTCATTAAAAGGAAAAGGAGAGACTTATCAGTGTTTAAAGAAAGACAAATTGTAGAAGCCACCCAAAGAAGAAAGACAAATCAGAGAAGATATCCAGAGTGTCAGTTAATGGAGGTCCTTCTCTGAAGAACAGATTGTTTGTATAAACTTTTTAATTGGTTAAGCCAAGGCAAGATCATACCCTCAAAATTTTATGTTTCTTATAATAAATGAGTTCAGGGAAGTACTAGCAGGAAGCTTATTCTCAAAATATAGTATGTGGTGCAGGGGAGGAAGGGGATGGAGGGATTTGCTTCTGAATTGTTTTGAAATTTGAGTGATGCAACCTTGGCAGACTTAAAATAGATCTCTCTTCTCTCAAACTTCCAGCAGCAACTTCTGGGAATTGTTTTCCTATTACTCCCTCTACTGGGTGGAGCGTGCTATGAACAGATCAACCAAGTAATAATTCTCTGCTCTGCCATTGTCCCTCGGAGACTAATAAAGGTATTGGATTTGAAAGTGAGGCTTTAACTGTATCGATCAGGATTCAAATTATTTCGCTTCAGTCAAGTCCAAGCAGGCATCTTTGCTGTCAGTTCGCCTTTTATCCGGTAACTCAGCCAAATGAAAGAAGTGCAAGCACTTTGATCAAGAAAGTCATGAGCAGGCTCATTTCTACCAGGTCTAACTGGGAAATGACATACCGGTACATTTCCTGTATCTTTAAATCAGTTGGAGAATATTGGGTTGATTATTACTCACCCTCTAATATTTATTAGATTAAATTAGAAACCACCTTCTGGTGTGTTTGTGACTACCATACCAATGATCTTGCCAGTTTTTGGAGGCCTAGCATATTAAACCAAGGCTGCATCTGTACTGCAGAAATAATGCACCACTAACTGTCATGGATGTATCCTATGGAATCCTAGGATTTATAGTTTGTTGTGTCATGAGAGCTCTCTGACAGAGAAGGATAAATATTTCACAAAACTACAAATCCCAGAATCCCATAGCATTGAGTTATGACAGTTAAATCAATCAATTATTTCTGCAGTGCATATGCAGTTCAAGTTAACCCTTGGTTATGGAGACCATCAAGAAACACCAGGAATCTCCAAATAGGGACAGGAAACAATCCTGTTTGAAAACCTAGACAGCTGCTGCCTGTCAGAGTTGCCAAAACTGGGTTAGATGGGCCAACAGTATGATGGTATATAGCAGCTTTCTATGATCCTAACATCTCCATAACATCATATCAAGGTTGAGAACGCACCCTCTGGGTATGAAACTGTGCTGAAGGCAGGGCCTGCCCTACTATTAGGCAACGTGAAGCAGTCACCTTAAGCAGCAAATTTAGAGTGAAAGGGAAGCAAATCATTGACTATTTAGTTGCTTGCTATTATTATATTTTTATTTCAGAAAATGGTTGTGGAATTTTCTGTGTCATGTACCAAAACAGCCCGACTGGTTTTAATGACTGCTTTTACTGAGAGAAGAGGGAAGGATGCCATTTGTTGCTCCATTTCAACCAGCAAAATGTCTGAAGGCTGTATCTTGCTGTATTCTTATTGTGCAATGTATTAATAATAAAGAGACAAACATTGTTTCCATAT